TCTGCCCAAGACCAAATTATAAGTGGGAGACTAAAGTGGTCAATATTTTGCTTAATTATCCTAAAAATATAAACATATGTTAATGGTTGAAAATCTGGTCTAATTTTCTAAGAACACATATTGATGAATTAGTTTATGCATGTTTTTTGATCCGGGTTAGTCAAGAAAAGCTTCTTATTTATTTTTGGTTTCTTCGCTCAAATAGCGAATTAGGCATGTATATTGAAAGCATATTATTATTATTATCATTATTATTAATGGCTTTATTCAGTATTATATTTTGGTACAATATAGAATTCTCAGCACAGGGTATTTCAACAAGTTTCTTTTACAAAAAAACAAAGACAAAAAAGAAAGGAAAAAGAGTTAAAAATGTCTGAAAAACTGTAAAATATATCAGTATTAAACTCGAGTGACATTACAACTCAATACAACCCACATTGTACGAGTAATCCATGTACCTAAATAAATGGTTTCTCTGGTTGTCAGAAGGAGCATCGGCCTCGTGACTTCCGAAGGAACTCGGCTTTCCTCATGAGGCGTCATAGTTCTTCTAAATGAAGACCTTCTGACTCCCAGGACAGAGTTTAAAAGGTTTGAATAATTTTTTCTGGTTAACGTTTTTCTAGCGATTTAGTTTTCTATGGGATGGGGTTGCTAACTCCATGCCCAACACTCCCCGTTTATCCAGGTTTGGGACCGGCAGTAGCCCCCGGAGGGAATCCATGCGGAGTTAATAGGTAGACTACAGTATCTCATATATAATCATATTTTTAGATGATGTTTAAGAACATCAATAACATTTTGTCAGGACATCATTAGTAGAATTACCTGATCATCTTCGTCCGAATCTCATCATTATAATATGCAATAAATTATAGTAAATCGATAATCGATATCTATTTGTGAGATAAATGTGTGACTATCTTGTAAATCACTATTGGTCTTTGCTATTATCTAAAGCTGTTAATTATGTTTTTATAACAGAATTTGATTTGTTGTGTGTGATCATTTCAGGTCAATACAATATCACTTTGTATGCATATATAAAAATGGTGTTGTATCTAGTCATTACACAAGTAATACAGCAATATTGATCAATAATTACTTTTTGTAAAACCTGTTGATTTCTCTTTACTTTATTGGATTTTTGTCCATCTTGAACAGTGAGCATCAACTGTTTTAATTCCAGTGGGTCTAATATTCAGATCATTCTAGGCAAATTATTCGAGCAAGTGTTCTTAGTGAGCTAGATTTATAGTATATGGAACCATGAGAAGTTGGATTGGAATCTAAGTTTAGAACCCAGTCAGAGATCTGAGGAGGCCCCACTCAGTGAAATGGTCAAAAATATATCAGTGAATATATATAACATTCAATATTGATGTTGAAATCTTGTGTTTTTAATCGGAGATTAATGCCTTTTTTTCGTACCGCTTATGTCAGATATCTCTTCTGTCTGTTCAATAGCCAGTCACCACAAAATATAAATTATGTTACTTGTTGCCACTATTATGTCATTTCTTGTTGATTTTCTGTCGGGTTAACTCACGTCATTCGAGTAGGAACGTAGAAAGAGTTTGGTATCATCATTGCCAAATTCTGTCAGATCACCTTAAAATAACCTTATCTGATGTAGCACGCACTGGGGCAGTACAACTCATGGAAGGACATTAAGGACACATTTTGCTTTTTATAATCATGTTTAGGGACCTTATGCTGTTAACTGAGTTATTCACTTGACATTTCCTCATTCCATTGAGACAAGAACTTGATCTTTAGAGATGGTGTTGTATTTCTAGTGTCTTTTTGGGTTTCCAAACAGAATTCTAAATATCGACAAACACTCTGTATTAGAAATTATTGATTTAATTACAACTGAAAAATTCTCATTACCTAACTTAATCTGTTGAGAAAAGTTACATTTTATGGTATGCCATTTAAAAGTAAATAACAGCCTATCAGATAAGGAATCTAATTTGTCTGACTGTAGTTTCAAGATAAAATATCATTGTGAACATATGAATGTTTAGATGGTGGTTGGAGGTAGTCAACAGGAAACCCTGGACCCGGGTTTCCTGTTGACTACCTCCAACCACCATCTAAATCTCAATACATAGTGCCCGCAGTGTCCAGTCACCTAGACTGGTGGCCACATTGCAACATGATCGATAGCATTCTATCTGCACTAATACGGACTAGACAAGCAAGACATTGATCACCACCCAGTGATCAGTCAATTGTAATTACATATGAATGTTATTCAGTCCATCTTTTCTATAAAGCCATTATTGCAATCGAGCTCAGAAAGGATGCCCTTAAACCTGAATCACCTTTGATAATGTTATCCAAAGTATTTCTAAAAAACTAATGAAAAATTCACAGAAGTTCAATGTTAGTGAATTCCTATTTTAGGAAAGACTATCCTACATAAACGATATCCGTCTACCAACAGAAGGACGGGTTTACTGAGCAGCAGTTCGTTCCTTCCTACTGTGAAACATGGCCAGTAAGAGTAGAGGATATTCGTAGGTTACTAGTATTCGATCATAGGTGTCTTCGAAATATTGCTCGTATATCCTGGGTCCAGCGAGTAAGTTACGCAGTTGTTAGGAAACGGGTACTAGGTAAGGATGACAAATCGATTGATGAAGTAGTGAAACTTCATCAGTTGAGATGGCTGGCACACGTGTTACGTATGCCCAACGACCGAATGCCCCGACGTGCAATGCTTTATGGTGTAGGAGTAGGTTGGAAGAAAGCTAGGGGCGGCCAGACCAAAACATGACACAAATCCATGAAGTCAATGACAGGTGGACTGAACCATGTTGGTAGATGTAGACTACGTGGTTGGGGACCGCGAGATAATAACAATCGATAGTTAGAGACCCTGAATGACATGGCCCAAAATCGTTTGCAATGGTGCAGGTGCATCCACTCTTTGTGTTTTCCAAACTTCTAATCTTCTGAATTCTTCATGTCACTTTCTTTTTTCTCTTTCCTAATTTATTTTACTGGATTATACTCCCTGAATAATATCGTCAAACCCTAATGTTTCCGATTACGGCTTATACTCTTACTACCTCTACCACTAAGGCATTTGAATCGACCACGGCATCTCTATGCTAATGTGGTGTGGCAACTCGAACTGATGTACGTACGCACGAAGTTCTACGTTGTTACTGACTGACTGATAATAAGTATCTGAATAAACAAACACAAATGTAGGCCAAGCGATGGATCAAATAAACAAACAGTTACAAAGTCGAAAATATCAAGTTATTTTAAGTTTCAGTACCAGTCACATCCCTGGTTCACGTTATGATAGTTATCAAATTTATTGACTTAGTTAAAATACTATCAAACTATATTATTTCATCTGGTAATAAAACTTTGCGAATCGAGAAGTCATACTGTTAAACAACATATAAGCAAGAATGAATTTAAACCTCGGTAACAAATTATTGATGACTAATTCATTACTTGAGAGTAACTAGTGTCATATTTTTTAGTCTTCTGTTATGTTAAAATTTTGTCGTTGGATTTACAATAAAATCCATAGTTTAGTCGACTGGACATCCAGATACTGTAAGTGATCATTCCGTGTATAGAGATCTCAACCCTGCAGGAGGTCAGTTAAATATTGGTTAGGTAAATAACAATATCTTTGACCTTGGTTCTGGTTGTTGTCAGTAAGGACTCCTTAGGATCGAAAGACTAGGGACCCTATAGAGATTGCAATCACTGATTTCTAGCGTTAACTAACTAGGACAAACAAAAATCTAGAGCTCCTTGACAGTTAATCTCAACCATGTGGCACTAAATTAATAATTGAGAAGTATTAGAATATCTATCACAGATCAATCTATACTTTTGAACACGTAAAGAATTAGTGTTAATCATTTGCTAGTTGAATTTTTCATGACATCATTCGTTTACGAAAGATAATTCACTTTATTTAAATGAATAAAGCTCTTTTCACACTTGAGTAGTCTAGCAATAATCTCATTTAGTTTAACGATAATTTTCAATGTCTCTCCAATGGTCCATAGGTTCTAATCGATTTCAACAATCCGCCTAATTATAAGATAATTTTCTATATGTGTTTTACTCTCATTTCATCTCAAACTATATAACATACTTATGAGATCTTGTTTTGTTAACTTGTTGAAATTTCCAATAGGACATTTTTATTATTTAGAGAGATAGTTATATATTCTCAAATGTATAGATTTATTTCCAGAGTTATCATAAAGTTAACTTAGTGGATCTTCCAGCCTTCGAAAACAAAAACAGTATATTCCACCTTTTCTCTACGTAATACCTATTCAGACAATATTATTTAGCTCCCTGATTAGAACCGTCAAAATCGATAGTATTTTCTAAACTGAAATAACTGTATAAACATGAGATTGGGTAAGATGAACATCTCAATACTACAAGACATAAATCGGTATGATGTTCTCAAATGGCTATATCTTGAATTGTAGCACTGAATGGTGAGGAATTCGAATTCTTTGGGGAATATTAGTTATTTTAGGTAAGAAGATACACCTAGATAGAGTTCCATCTACCGCTGGACCTAATTTAAGGTTTTATTCTAGCTAGTTTGATTCACTTCCTGTTAACCACTGGTTGTCTTGGCAATACTGTTGTAATTATAGTCAGCTTTCTTATTTTCCCAGTTTTCCCAGTCTTTGATGGTTAAACCCGGCGTTTTGTTTTACGTACTGTTAAATAATCTATTGTTTATTACAATTTTTCATGTTCACTAAGAATTTTGATTTTGTAAAAAATTCAGATTTGTTCGATCTGTTGTTTTCGGAACATAACCCTTCTCTTTGAGAATGATCACACTGTTAGAAGTTTATGAATACAAAATTTCTGTCCAGCAATTTAGTGAGTTAGGATCTCTGGTCAGTCAAACTTCAAAAGATACCGCCTATCATTTTTGAAAATCATTTCAGCTTACTAATAAGTAGTAAAAAAAGAATTCAAATGCTCCAAAATAGGGTACTTTTCAAATGAATGTATGTAAAAAGAATGATAACAAAGACATTATTTAATTTGTTATTATATAGACTAATTTTGGTAGAACCATGATATCTACCGAAATGGAATTCGATGATTGATGATTCGGGAAAACATTGAAATCATACATTTTTAATTAGCTAACTTTTCAACAATTGTCTGTAAATTACCATGTTCTTTTATGACTAATTCAACTAATTCACTAGTTTTCTGTTTAAAACCCATTTCACGAAGTGCATCAATTGTTTTATGAATATCATCAGAATCATTTGTAGCAGTAGATGATGATGTTCTAGGATCAGATAAGTCTGATTGTTCATCATCTTCACCAGTAGAATCTTCTGCAGTAACATCTGAAGCGACAATTTTAACTGCTTGTAATACTGGACATGGAAATTCTGCATTATCTCTAGTAATCAACATTGGATGTTCTGAGTGATTGTTATTTTTAAAACAATCAGGGCATAATACAACTCTAGGACATATAACGCATGTGAATCTATCACCACACCAATTATTTTTATTACATATGTTACATATTAATTCAATGATAACAGGTAATTCAGGTTCTGTGTAATCAATCTCTTTATTAAATACAGCTCTTGATGCACGTTCACGAAAATCACTTGGTAAATGCTCTGGTCTACATCCACCATAAAATGAAGGTAATTTTGTTTCATTTAAATGAAGTACTGGGGCAGCAAATAATAAAGGTGTATTATCTTCACGATCATATATCATTCGTACAATTGCTTCTCTCAGATTAGATGAATTAGACACTGTACAATATTCAGTTCCATCTGTGAAAGTAAATTTAAAGAAAAAACAATCACACAAGAATAATGAAAGATGGAGTTTCCAACTAGTGATTGTTTTTAAAAATGAGTACAGTGATGTACACACCGAATGATTCTGTAATAGGTAATGATATCTAATTACTATAAATATTATTATTGATACAAAAATGTTTATTGATCAAGGATGGTAGTTTAGTTTATATATTGGATGACAATTGTGTTTTCTTATTTAAACATACTTATTAAAGCAAACTTTTTATCATGAGCTTCTAAACTTTTTAATTTTAAGATGTATCAATTGTTCCTTTGATGGTTGAATTCATGAGTCGATATAAGCTAGACCACCATTGAGGACCTGGGACCACTGGATGGTCGTTTCGATCTAGTATAAGACTCTCTATCAGTGCACATCCACGATCCAACATGCGGGACTCTAACCAAGGACCTCCAGTCCAATCCATTTCACATCTCATTTGGGAAATTTCTTTCCTTATAGTATTGATGTATTGCATGTCAACTTCAACCAGTCCACACTCATACCATGTCCTAGACAGTACACGATTAGTACATTCTTACATTCACAGTTAGGTAGACAACATTAAAAACCGATTTCTTTTCACAATATCAATAGATATATTTCATTCATTTCTATTTGTTTAATCTGGTTGACGTTTTTTTAGCAAGATTTTTTCTACGGGATCGGGATGCCGACCTCATGGCCAACCCTCCTTCTTTACCAGGGCTTGAGGTCGGCAGTAAATCTAGAAGAGCTACAGGCGTCAAGACAGTCCTAGTGTACGGAGCTGAAACGTGGAGAACTACTACAACCATCATCAAGTAGATAAAAGTATTTATAAATAGTTGTCTACACAAGATACTCAACATCCATTGGCCGGACATCATCAGCAACAACCCTCTATGAGAGAGAACAAACCAGCTTCCAGCCGAAGAGGAAATTAGGAAAAGACGATGGGAATGGATAGGGAATACATTACGCGAATCGTCGAAACTGCATCACGAGACAAGCCCTAACTTGTAATCGTGAAGGGAAGTGGAAAAGAGGAAGGCCAAAGAACACATTACGTCGGGAAACAGAAGCGGATATGAAAAGTATGGACAACAACTGGAGAGAACTAGAAAGGTTTGCCCAGGACAGGATTGGATGGCGAATGCTGGTAAGCGGCCTATGCTCCTTCACGAGGAGTAACAGGCGTAAGTAAGTAATTCATTTCTATTAGTTATTTGAACCTTCCTATTGATCCTTAGGACTGGTAATGGGTTGGGGTCTAACGTATGGAATCGAGGATTTCCACTTCTGAGGAGTCACATAGTAGAATGAAAAGGCTTCCAGGTTTTGATTGGCAGTCTTACACTGGTCAGCTGGTGACCTAAATAAAATCCAACAATCTCCACAACTAAATATTTAAAACTCATTAATTATTGTTAAATGTAAAGGAATCATTTTAGTGTGATTCTTTGTAACCTGATAAAACAACATATTTTTAATACTCAGGACCTACCAGTTTCGCACGCAGGCGCTTAACTTCTAGACCACTAAACCAGTATCCAACTGTGTTAATGTATAACTTCAATCAATGCACGAAATTCAGCGACATATCCACCATTTTTTTCAATGAGTTACTATTTCACAACAGACCCAGTCGAATCTCGCGACGCGGGATCGTGGATACCCACTGCTGAAGAGTCCCACAATAGAACGAAACGGCTGTCCAGTGCTTCCAGGTTTTCCATGGTGGTCTAGCTTCAATTGACTCATGATGTCAACTATGAAATTACTATAATATCCACAAAATACCCCTTCTGATATGTTTAATAGTTAATTTTTATAACAAGTAGCATAATTCCCTCTCTCGCTTAAATTCTTAAAAACTATTCAGAAGGAATGGTCAGTATACCCCATTTTAATTAAGTTATTGTTAGTAAAACTTGGATAACCCTAATAAAACTTTCAGTGCTTAGAATTTCCGTTTAAGCTCTCCAATACAATTTTTTAATTAACTCGTAGACCGAAACTCATTGAACGACAATAGTGGTTTCCAAATAGATAATTACCAAAGAAATAAAGATTGATCTAAGTCAGCTTAACCAATTCATTTACCTAGAAGTATTTGGAAACGGAAAAACAATGTACGGATTGTAGCAACTCAAAAGGTGTACATGACGGACCTATGCTGTAAGAGTCAGTCAACCTCGCTTAAGATATCGGTTTCAAGGTCACTGGATATATTACTATTAACTTTCAAATTGCTTTATCGTCTAGAAAAACAGCATTATGCGAACCTGGATACAAAATGACAGCTAAAAAGTGTTAATGAAAATTATCAAAGTATGTAAAAGCAAACTAAGTAAGTAGTTTGTACCGAATGGAATAAATCTATCTATAGACATAAATATAACAGTATTGTAATCGTGTTTCATAGTTCCAAACAAGTTTAATTAACTTTCATTTTGACTTTTATTGCTACTACTGAACAAATAAACGTGTTGATGTAAAGCAAAATCTTATTGTCAGTCGAATGCAAAGAATGTGAAGTAAGAGAATAACAACTTCTCACTAATCTACGAAGTTGCGCCACCGTACATCATTGTCTTCAGTGAGTTCCTATCTCAAAACAGACCTGGTTGAACTCCATTGGTAACGACTTCTCACTAGAACTCCAGGAGTGTCTCTTGAAGTCAGTCACTAATGAGCATGTGATTATTATTATCAGAATGGGTTTTGTGGAGATTTCTAGAAATTTCACTGGTTGAAATCATGAGTCAATTGAAGCTAGACCACCATGGAAAACCTGGAAGCACTAGACATCCGTTTCGTCCTAGTATGGGACTCCTCAACAGTGCACAGCTTCAAATGACTCATGATTTCAACCAGTGAAATTTCTAAAAATCTTCACAAAACCCATTTTGATAACTTCTCACTAATGTTTATCAGTGAATCGATCACCAGATTAGCTAGTAATTTATTATTCAATAAATAAATACTTTTTATACTTAAAACTGAATAAACAATTGCTTGACAGTTGTCTTTACACTTCACTGTTATGAGGGAACATATGCTCAGGTCTCAACTATATTTTAGTTGAAATGTTTGATGTCAATAGAACTTGAAGCTTGTAAATGGATTTATATTTGAATCTAATAAAAATCTTTCCAATAATTTGACTGCTGGTAGCAAAAACTTTGTTAGAATTCAATGAAATGGGAGATTCCCCACTTATATTAAACCGATTTTTTTGACAGTTCGATTTCCAATCAATGTGTCAACATAACTAAAACTACAAATGTATTCCTTTGAAATAAACTTGAATGTGATACCCACACATAGATATTTCCATAAACACATTAAACAGGAAACAAATTTAGAATGATAAAGAAAAATAACAACTGATGAAGAAATTAACTAGAAGAAATATCCATTATAAGCAAATCCCACATGACGATTAATTAGCTTATTAGAATAAATAAGAAAGTAAACTGATCAATTTCAATTATTTACTTAGGGGTGAAGGACTCCAATTATGAATACTATTTTAGTGTGTTCATCTTACTTAGGCACCATTAAGTGACATCAAAAATAACACTTAGACACATATTGAAAGTTCTATCCAATTATACTCAAGTATACTTTCAATAACATTACATTGTAGTCATTCACCAAATCACTTGACACATTTCCACAAATTTATCGATTAAAAACGTAGACTTAAATAATCTCACCTCTAGATATTCATTCACATTTCATTACATCATTTATTTTATTCATGTTACTTATATGTTACGTATACTTAGACGAGTGATTTCCATTGATATCATTTGACGGTATCATTCGTACAAGTTGTATTATACAACGCTTAAACAAAGAGTGAATGTTAGTCATATAATAGTCATGTGAATAGAAAACAGCAAACAAGTTAGTAAACTATACTTCCGTTTGTCAATACAAACAAACGAAACTAAACAAAACCCAAACACAATACCAAACATTGATGATAAAGAGATGAGAGAAAACCATGAAATACTCATTGAATATAGAATGTTTCAAAATTTTCACTTATCACCATCGTATGAAGTGTTCTCATTTGATCTCCTATTGTTCTGTAATATCTACAATCCCAATATAATGCTTGATTGGTGACAATTTCCAATCCTATATACTACTGGTTAATTGAGAGAGGGTGTGTATATGTGTATGATGTTTAGTGTTTCATTCAATTGGTTTCTTTCACAATTTTAAGCAAATTATTATTATTATTTGCAGAATGAAACGAATTCATTGTATTCTCGTCAGCTATAACTAAGCTAACTGTTTCCATTTCAATGAAATATCAATTGAAATATCAATCAATCATTGATAACTTGTGTATGATGTGAAAGAACGTAAGAATTAATGTTTTAAAACGGGGTCTATTGATAATGGCTTAAGGTAATAAGTTCTAAAATGTCAAGATATATTTTATTTGTTAATTAAACAAAACTTCTTTTTCAAGTTTAGGAAGGAAAAGTGGAGATGTTAGACAAACTCACTGAACTATGATAACATTTGATTGAAAAGAAAGGGGTTGAAATTTTACTAAGACAGATGAAGGTTAACTACTGACTGTTTTTGAATCAGTCAGTCAGCTACAACGTAGGACCAGGCATATATATGCATCGGTCCAAGTTGCAAGATGAACACCGGATTCATAGAAGTAGTTAATTCAATGGTGGTAGTATACAAAAAAGAGATTGCATATAAGGATATAGTACAGGAAGAAGGAATTAGTTCGTGGAAAGAAAGATATGAAGCGATTTTAGTCTTATAGTTTAAGAGAAAACAGAGGGTGTATACACCTACACCATTGTGCTCGAGTCTGAGCCACGTCACCCAGTCTCCAACCATTGGTTACGATAGTCACGCAGACCCTAACCAACTAGTCTGTATCTACTAACATGGCTCAGAGTAGAAGTTAGTGACTTTAAGCACTGATGTCATGTTTTGGTTC